GCTCCAGTCCCCTCAGCATCTCCGTAGCCCTTTGCTGGACCCTCTCCAGCAGTTCCCTGTCCTTCTTGACCCGGGGAGCCCCGAACTGGACACAGTGCTCCAGATGTGGCCTCCCCAGGGCAGAGCAGAGGGGGAGGATGACCTCCCTCCACCTGCTGGCCACACTCTGCTTGATGCCCCCCAGGATGCCATTGGCCTTCTTGGCCGCCAGGGCACATTGCTGGCTCGTGGGCATCCTGTTGTCCCCCAGCACTCCCTGGTCCCTTTCCACAGAGCTGCTCCCCAGCAGGTCACCCCCAACCTGTACTGGTGCATGGGGTTATTCCTCCCCAGATGCAGTGCCCTACACTTGCCCTTGCTGAACTTCATATGGTTCCTCTCCACCCAACTCTCCAGCCTGTCCAGGTCATACTGAATGGCGGCACAGCCTTCCGGTGTGTCAGCCACTCCTCCCGGACACGGACGGGATAGTTATCCGCTCTATTTACCAGCACTGCATTGCTGAGGAATTTGCAATTTCCATGTAAATGAGCTTTCCCAGCTCACAAGGTAACTCTGCGCAGAGGCTCTGGGCACCAAGTGACTCCACCTGGAACCGCAACCGAACCGAAGCTGAAGGCTCCAAAGCTGCAAACCTGCCGCAGCGGGGCCTCGGGGGAGACCACCCTCTGCTCAGCCGGGTCCCCGGCACCGGGGTCACCCCCTCCCAGCTCACGGTGGGTTTTTGGGGATAAACCAGCTGACGCGATCGAGGTGCATGAGTGCTGCAGCCGTGGCCATGCAAGCGCTCAGACGGGCAGGCACGGCGTCGCGCGGGCAAAACTGTCCCCTGATGTACACAGAAATGGCACATCAAGCCCCAATTAACAAGGCAATCCTTGCTAACGAGCTGGGGTTTGTGTCAGGTAGGAGACTAAATAAAATGACAGAATAAGAGATTTTCTCATCGGGTCAATAAACAGCTTATGAACACATCTTGGTAGCAAGTGGAGCACCTATTAATTAAAACATGCAGAATACGAGGCTCAAAATATAGCTTGAAAGCACCCAGGCAGTTTACCTGCCTGAGATCTCCCGAATTCCTTCATTTGCCAAATATCTGATTATTCCCCCAAAACACAGTAGTCCTAAGGCTTTTTCTGAGCAAACCTCACCCCAAAAGCTGTAGCCCCGCTGCGCCTGTGCCTCCACCTCCCAAAACAGGCAGTAGCAAAGCCCACGCGCGGAGCGGGCTCTGAACTGCTTCAGAGACAGAGGTGACAAAGCGCGGTACTAACATGGGAAATGTTTTCTTCCAGTTCTTCGACTCTTTCCAGGGCTGCATTCTTGGTTTCGGCATCCTCCAGTAAAGCTCCCACATCAAAAACGTTATCCAGGTAAGCCTGAATTTGCACCTGCAGTTTGTCGCTCTCCGTGTGTTTCAGCTTCTGCAAACCCAAGAAGACACAGGTGTCACTCAGCACCGGCAGCCCTGCGCAGGAGGAGGGCCACAAACGGAGTGGGGAGAGCGGCGGAAGCTCAGGCCGCTTCCATCACCCAGGAAAACACTTCACATCTTAACGTTAGCTGAGGTCATAAGTGATAAACAGTCATTTTTTAAGACCAAACATCCAGAGGTTTCAAAGCAAGCTAAGCAGCGTCTTATCTTCTGTTACTCCAGAGGATAATACTGCTTTCCTCTGAGCTTGCTGCTGGGCCGGGGAAGCTCTGAGTCCACCACCCAGCCCTGGGACGGTGCGAGGCCGGCGGCCAGCGGGGCCAACCCTGCTGCTGCCCGCGGTGGCCAGCAGCTGAGTGGCAAATAGGCAGAGGTGAGGCCATCACTTGTGTTTGGGTTTGAAGCAGCCGCGTGGCCCATTGAAGATCCTCTGACCTCGTGATGGGTTTGCTGTGTTCAGAATGAACGTGTTTTATCTCCAAAGACAACATCAGAGCACGCTTTGAACTGCTCTGCCTGTTCCCGATGGACTGCAGGGTTTGTGCCACGCTGGGACCCCAAACAGCCCCCGGCTCAGTATCGCCACGTACAAATACTTCTTGCAGACAGCAAAAAACCCTCTCTCCTGGTTACAGAAGTCAGCGGGGACAAATCAATGCCTCGTCAACACGAGCCCCGTTTTCATGTGTGCGCTCCCAGGGGCAGGGACAGGGAGAAAAATACAAAAGGGGAAATATAAAAGCAGCTTTCTTCTGAAAGAGAGCGTTTCCCACGGGACGCCAGGAAACGCCTGGCTGTCAGGAGAAAGCTCAAAAGAGGGTTTTTTTTCCCGTGGAGACGGAGGGGGCCCCGGCAGCACCTGAGCCAGGGCCGGCAGGAGGCCCGCAGCCGGAGGTCAGGGACGTGGCGCGGGCGAGGACTGCTGCGGTTCATCCTCCCTTTGTTATAAGGCAAAGCTACAAATTTAGCTCCCAGTGTGTAATTGCAGTTAGTTGCAGCCGATTTTTCTTCTGCAGGAGTGGCTCCAGCCCACAGCCCCAGTCGGCGGCCAAGGCACTGCATTTTTAGCAGAGACTACGGACAACTCTGCTCTGCCCTCCCGAAAGCTCTCGGGTGAGGGGGTTTAAGGAGGTTTAAGGCTTGGCTGGGCAGCAGTGGCACTGGGGGACGTGGCACGGAGCCTCCACGGCCACAAGACCCTCCAAGCCCAGCCTGTGCCCCCGCCGGGAGAGCCGCCCCCCGCCGCGAGGAGATGGAGACCCCGGTGGTACTCACGTCCAGGTACTCATCCAGGCCGAGCTTTGTAAATTCGTACTGCAGGTGGACTCTGAAGTTCATGTCCTCCACCGAGTGGACAACGATGTTGATGAACTGCATGCAGGCCACCTGCAAGGAGAAGGGCTGCACGTGAGAGGAGGCGACGTCACGGCCCCGGCTGCCCCCCGAACGCCCCCGGCGCAGGGTGGGAGCGGGCTCTGCCGGGACCCCGTGGGTCAGGCACAGCGAATGACCACATTTCCTCGCGGTCACTACGAGGGGAAACTGCGATCTGCTGTTCTGCAGCTTTTTGCCAAGCCGGCGCTGGATTCGGGCTTACGGGGCGTTTGTCTGCTGTGATAAAGGCAAACACGGGTTCCAGAAATTAAGTCATGTCTGCAGAGTCTACCTTTATTGCGTGCCGGTGAAGGTTTTCCATGCCAGCTCGCACGGCCAGACATCCTACAAGCACACAAGCTCTTAAGAAAACAATGCTGTTCCTGAAAGGGCCCATAAAAGTGAGATTAATTTTGGGCCTGGAACCCCTAGCTTAGGAAATGGGACTTTCACAAAAGGCACTTTGTTGTTTGCAGAAAGCCTATTTCCAAAGCTGTGGTTTGGTAACTGAACAAGGGACCAGATCATAGGAGTTGGCATCCAAACACATCCCAACACAGCGAAGGAAAGGAAAAGTTGAGCGAAGCGGCAACACGCTGGCAGAAGGAGCAGTGGGGAAACCTCCCGCAGAGCAGCGGGAATTAAGCTACAAACCCCAAAATGGTTGTTTGCCCCTTTACTTGAATGTAGGGCACAGCCAAATCCTGCTCTGCACAAGTACCCCAACCCTCCTTCAGCTCACGGATGACCACGTCTGTCACCTTCTGAGCTGCCTGAAGAGCAAGTTTGCCTCGTCCTTGCTGGGTTTCCCAAGGGCAAAGCCCCATCCTGCTAGCAACACCACGACAGGGGTGATACCACCTTCTCAGCATCTACTGAGGTACTCCCCAGCCTTCTTGAGTGAACCTGAGAAGATAAATTCGAAGGAACCTAATTTTACCACAAGACAAGCCTCCAGGAGACCCCACGTCTCTGCATCATTTCGTGGGCAGAAAGAGGTGAAGGCCACTCTCTGCATCACCAGTTTGCTACAGGTATTGGCCAGTTCTCGGTGATCTGCTCCAGAGGATACACTTGTGGGCAGGCACCTGCTGCATGGTGGCCTTTGACTACAGGTCTGGGTGGGATGCCCCGGGGTGCTCCTTCTAGCTGGAGCTCCCAGAAGCCGCTGAGCTGCTATCAAACCTTTCCTGGCTGAACTGCCCAGTACTGCCTGGCTTTGGGGGAACTGGGACCACAGGGACACAGCAAAGGACAGTCAAAAGCTCTCAGTTACATCTTCCCATGTAGACCCTGACCAGCTGTTTCCAAAATGACTTTAAGCCTAGCTAATGCGAAGCCGTGAGACTGCAAGCAGGGATAACTCCAAGGAAGAGAGAAAGGAAGACGATCTAAAGATTCATCCAGGATGCCTCATCCTCACCTTCTGGCGTGTACCCGTATCTTACGCAAACAACCCGATCCAGGCAGCTGGAAACCCAACTTCAGGTTTCGAGTCTTTACAGGACTCTTTCCAGTTCCTGTGGCGCACCCTGGTTCCTCCTAGTGCTGGTACCGGCCCGCGCCAGCTGAACCCTGCTGTCCCGTCCTACCACCCCGAGCCAAATTCCCCTGTTTCAAAAGCACTTTTGTTGTACTTGCTTTGGCTCTTGCGACGTTGGGGCCAAATTCTCATTTCCTTTCTCAGCTCCTTACATACACAACTAAGGAATTTATCAAGTCAAAGACAACTAATCTAAGAAAGTTGCTTTTAAAATGAAGCAAGTCAGTGACAACAGCAGGAACCTCCTCTAAGATACTTCTGCCTTTTTGGTGCTCTTTCCTCCCTGTTGATCCGTGCAATTAACCACAGCCCCCTCCAGCTCCAGCTTCCCAGACAGCTCTCGCCTTCTCCATTTAGGGCAGAGTGAAAGCCAGGTCCCGCAGGAATAGCTCTTTGTTTACATTCAGTCATTGCAACTCCTTGAATTACTCGAGCTTTAATGTTACGCCCTGGAGCCTGGGCTCCGGCACCCGTTTTCTCTCGTCCTGCGGAACGGAGCGATGCCGCCCTGGGCACAGCCCGGTGCCACCGGCAGGCTCCCGCAGTGCCGGGACCGCC